ATCCAATATAAAAAACAGACGAACTTTGGTTTAAAAGTAACTAAGAAAGTCATTGGTTTTATTTAATTTTTAAAAAAAGGCACCCTCCATGACCCTTAATTATACTTTAGCTCCCATATATCAGAGAATTTTTTTTTCTTTAAAAGTATATCAACCTGGGTCTCAAAAGTTCATTTGCTAGTATTTTATTTTTTTCCTTTTTTTATTGTAATCAGTTTTTTCTATTATTTTTAAACATAACAATGGGAATTAATTTTGCAATAAAAAAATGTTATCAAGAATTTGTAAAACTTAATCAATAATATTGCTGCAAGGTAAAGTTTTAGAGGGTGTGTTAGAGGGTGTCGTTGACAAAACCACATTAAAATGGTAATTTTTCTTTGCATTTAAAGCATCTATGCAAAAATTATGATGCTCAAACTTATAATCAATTAACTTAAATAAGATACGTACCTAATGATTTTAATCATGTTTTTTATAAATTGGTATATATAATTTTTGTATAAAAAACAATAAACAGTGATCAACACCCACCACTTCACTAAACAGGATAATGACAGTCTCTATGTTTAAGGCTATGAACTTAATGATGTCTCTAAAACACTTTTAAAAAATATGATTAACTGAGTTTTTATTACAATTTTTGAAAATCAATTATAATTTTTTACAATTATAATTTTAATAACCTAGCAATTATTTTATAGTGAGCATGCAGTGAACCTATAGAAGCATTTTGAGTGGTTAATTGTAGTTTTGCTCCTCGGTTACTTCAAGCATTCCCTAAAAGTGGCTAGCCGGTAATTCTTCAACATATAATCTAAAAGCTAGTTGTTGGCTATCCATTTTGGCAGCTGCCACTAATGGTCCACTATGTAACCAATGAGTCTAACTACAGTAGAAAAAACCTTCAAAATGCCTATAAAGGTTTAGTAAAACTCCTGTGTAAAATGTTTGCTTGGAAGGTTGTTACATAAAGTCAAAAAAAGCTTAAAAATACTTAAAAATTTTGTTAAGTAGATTAAAAAAAAAGTCAGGGAATTGTTGTAAAGTTTTTATTCTAAAATCAAAAATAGTATTATTTGTGTATTCAAAATAAGCGCATGTGTTAATCTATCTTCTATATAATAATGCCGAACTTAGTTTTAATTGTGTCCCTTGGAACGTATTTGACACGAGACCCTTTGCAGCCATTGCAACCGAGGTAGTGGCGAGTGAGAGTTGCAGCACTTTTTTTTTTAAGAAAACGTGAGCGAACGTGTATGCAAATTTCTAACCTACGTAAACTTTAAATTAAGTAATGTTAAAGCATACTGAAACATTTATCAAGTTTGATTTTCACTTAAAAATTGCATTGCGTCAAGTTTACCTTAACTTTGATGTACAGCATATCTTTCCGTGAAAAACGTCATTACATAGTTTTAGAAACTTTCGTTTAATAACGTGCCAGCGTACAGTGGGTCAGATCTCAAAAAAACTGGTCAAAAAAGGAAAAAAAAAGTACGATATGGTATTTTTGGACTATCAGCTTGGCTTCAGTGATGTTGGAACTACTTAATGCCGGGTGACCAGAAGATCAGCTGTTCATTTTGTGCGCTATATAGCAGATCGAACGCGGCAGTCCAAGGTCTGTCGTACTTGCGCACGTTAAAGCTAAAAAATCGTATTTTTTTCAAAAATAAATATCTTTGTTGTGTGCACGTAAAACAAATATTTTCAATATGCAATTCGTTTCACAAGGTATGCACTAATTAAAAAACAAAAATAATATTATTAAGTCATTAATTATAAAGATTTTTTTTTTAATTAACTTAATACAGAAAAATATTTTATAAAATTGTAAAATTTGCTTTAAAAATAGAGATAAGTTACGAATTCCACGATATTCCACTTTCATTTACATTATGTTTGTACGTATGCAGTATTTTTTTTGTAATTTAATATTCAAATCCAAATTCGAGTTTACGAACTTATTACATAGCAAACGATTTGGAAATGGATGGAATTTATTTAATGAATCCCACCCATTTCCAAATCGTAATATGGTGGTATAAATACAATTATATATTTTATTAAAACAAAAAAACTAAATATTGAGTAAATACATTTTAAATAAGTATACATAGATTTTTTAAATTCAGGTTTATCAGATCCACCGGTTGCTGTATATGGACTTTCGAAGAAAGAACTCTTTATTATAACAGAAGAATATTTTCCAAACGATTTGCAAGTGATCATAGAGCATTTGAAAAAGTCATTGACTGAAAAGATTGGATATGTAATTTCAATTCGCGACAACATGAGACCTACTATTTCTGTTTTAATGACAAAGTTTAGAACGAAATATGAGGAAGCAGCTCAACTTTATCTGATAGGTCCAAAATAAGGAGGACTAAAGAGATGCGTAAGAAGTTCAGTCCTGCCGAACTATCATTTGCTACGCAAATGAGTCTTCGATCTTCAAGGCATTCAGACGCTGCTATTATTGTGAATGACGTTACACTGTCAAGTCCATTTAAGGCAACAAAATACAAGGAAGGTTTGCAACTATCATTACCATTGCCAGCCTTTTATGATGCAAATGAAGCTCTAGCAATTTTATTAGACCTAAGTTTGACGAAAGACTTGCACCAGCATTTGAGAAATCAGGCAAAAAAAATTGCTTAAAACAGTTTATTTACCATACTCAGCTGCATTGGCAGAAAAAAAAATGTTGCTACCCTCCAGACGACACCTTAATTTTTACCGAATCAAAAGCTAAAGTACAGTTGCAAGCTTTATTAGACCACACCGTTCAACCTATTTTACTGCTGAACCAAGACAATATTACATATAAGAGTGATTCAAAAATATTGAATATGACTTTGATTTGTAAGTGGGGCTTTGACAGAACATCCGTACAAAGCGTTTATAAAATGACTTTTGAAGATCCGAATATATCAGATGCAAGTTTACTTTTTACTAAGCTTGTTCTATTGCAACTTGTAGGTGTAATCAAGAAACAAAAGAAGAAAATACTCTTATGGAGTAATCCGAAACCATCTTTTGTAGACCTCTAAAATTGCAGTTTACTAGGTTGGTTGAAAAGTTCGCGGAGCGGCACCTATGTTGCAGTAGTAGAAACAAATTTATAACTGTATTAAACGTATTCATTCTTCGTATGAACGCATAAAAAATTTCAAGTCGATATGTCATTTCAGTCTTTGTTTACAAGCTATTGAAATTAGACGTGTCATAGTATTTTTTAAAATGGAAAATATTGAACATCGTGCTGTAATAAAATTCTTTGTGAAAAAAGGTTTAAAGCCCATGGAAATTCATAATGAAATGGTAAATGTGTTGGGTGATGATGCTCCTTCAAAAACAACAGTATGCAAATGGGCTGCGGAGTTTCAACGTGGGCGTTCAAGCCTTGAAGATGACCCTCGCTCTGGACGTCCAAAAAGTGCTACTACTGAAGAAACGATTAATGCTGTGCATGACATGGTTATGGATGATAGACGATTGACCAAACGTGAAATTGCTGAGGCTGTGGGCATCTCAGATGAACGGGTATTACACATCTTGCACGATGAATTACGTCTGAGAAAGCTGTTGGCAAGATGGGTGCCGCATTCGCTAACTCTGGATCAGAAACGCACTCGAGTAAAACTTTCTCAAGAACATTTGGCCCGTTTTCAAAAGAATAAAACAGATTTTGTGCGTCGATTTGTAACCATGGATGAGACTTGGGTTTACCACTATGATCCGAAGCTGCGACAACAAACTGCAGAGTGGACAGAACCCGGTTGTTCAGCTCCGAAGCAAGTGAAGGCGTCAAAATCGTCAAAGAAGGTTATGGCATCAGTTTTTTGGGATGCGAAAGGAATTTTATTAATAGATTACCTTCAAACCGGTAAAACGATAACAGGTGAATATTATAAAAATCTTTTGGACCAGTTGGATAAAAAAATTCGTGAGAAAAGACCTGGTTTGCTGCATAAAAAAATCATTTATCACCAGGACAACGCACCTGCTCATATCAGCGATGTTGCAAAGGCGAAATTGGTCGAATTAAAGTACGAACGCTTGGAACATCCACCCTATTCACCAGATCTGGCTCCGTCCGACTTCCACCTCTTTCCACATCTCAAAAAATTTCTACGTGGAAAGCGTTTCTCATCACATGAAGAAGTCATTGCAGCCGTAAATGGGTATTTTGAAGGCCTTCCGGAATCGCACTTCAGAGATGGGATACATGAATTGGAGAATCGTTGGAAAAAGTGTATTGCTCTTAAGGGAGAATATACTGAAGAATAAAGTCATTTTTTGAATCATAAAATTGTTTTTTCATTTCCGCTCCGCGAACTTTTCAACCAACCTAGTACAAAAGAAAACGAGGAAACTTTTATAAATGAGAAAACGCATTTTGACACACAGATCAAACAACTCCAACCATTAAAAACATCCATTCATATGAAAAATATTTTTATTCAATACAGTTTAAGTATGACGATGTTAGATCCCAAGCGAAAATTCACAACAGGCGCAGTACTGCGCCAGTACTGTCTAATACTGGCGCAATACTGGCAGCCAGTACTGGTTCGGCACAGGCATTTATCTGGGATGATAACGCTTCACTAGTACTGGATGTCCAGTACTTAACCATTGCTGGCATCTGGTAATGGCATATTACTGCCTAATCAAAAATTCACAACAGGCGCAGTACTGTGCCAGTAAGAACTATAGTTCTTAACCAATGTTAGCAGCTGATATTAAAATAGTACTTTCTTGAAAAATTGAGCGCCGTCGCACTCTATTAGCATCATATCTATCAGCTCACTATCAGGTTTTGGCGTTGTCGCGCCAAACCTGTTATCAGAGTCTGAAAATCATAATACACACACACACAAACACACACAGACACACACACACACACACACACACAATTGATACTATAGTATAAATTTTAAAAGACAATCTTTTATTACAAAAATTATATTATTTATACATTTTAAGTAATTTTTTTTTTTGTATTATTATATTATAATAAATTCCATTTCGACACTGGTGTGGTTTAAACATAAAGCTTCCATAATGTCATTTTCTTAATAAAGTGAAAAGTTAAATTAATTATTTACAATGAATTAAGAATTATAGGTAAAAACATTTCTGACAATATCCTTACCTGCACAGCCACATGTAGGACAATACTTATAATTTGGATTTAGTATCACATCTAAAAAAATATTGTCAGAATTTTACTGAGAAAGCAATGATCAAAATTCTGGAAATGATTTCATTGAAAAATATTAAAATAACATTTACATGTAAGAAGAAAAACTAAGAAACATATTGCATTACCTTTTTTATTCATTTTATCTTCGTTTATACTTTTCATAGAGTTTTCATGTGATATACTGGAGTTATTTATCATTTCTGAAAATAATAAACTTTTTGAATAATAAAAATTCCTTTAACACATTTTTTTTTGTGTTTAACAATAAGAGTTATTTTTAATTATGATTTTATTTTTTGATTAAAGAAAGCATACGGTTTAGTTTCACTGGTTTACATTTAGAGATCAATATTTTCTTTATTTTCGGAGATGAGGACAAGGAATCGTTAGATTCTTCATCACGACACGACGATCGCTTTTTCTTTACTTCAAAGGAAACAAAAGACTCTTTTGAAATATCACTATCTCCACTGCTTTCAATACTAAGATCTAAAACACACAAGATATAGATATCTAGAAATGGTTTCATTAAAAAATATTAAAATAACATTTATATGTAAACCAAGAAATATATTGCATTACGTTTTTTTTTTTTTTATCTTCGCTTAAATTTTTCCTGGAGTTTTCATGTGATATACTGGAATTCTTTATCATTTCTAAAAATAATAAACTCATTGAATAATTAAAATTGCTTTAACACAATAATGGTTATTTTTAATTATAATGATTTTTTTTTCGATTAAAGAAAACATACGGTTTTGTTTTGCTGGGTTACATTTAGAGGTCAATATTTTCTTTATTTTAGGAGATGAGGACGAAGAATCATTAGATTGTTCATCACGGCATGACGATCTCCTTTTCTTTACTTTAAAAGAAACAATGGATTCATTATGCTCTAAAACAGATCAGATATAGATATCCTTAAAAAAGCCAGCAAAACAGTAATAAGGTTAAATAAATCTTTTGATTTTTTATGTTTTAATTTTTTTTTGAAAAAAAATAACTTATATAAACTTAAAGTCATACCTTTAAATGAAGAGATATCTTTTAAAGATGCTTTAATCTTAGAGCTGCTTAATTTAACAGGAGCAGATTCTTCTTCTGAACTGTTCAAATCTTCAAAGCTACTGCTCTGAACTACAAACTCAGAGCATGCACTAATCATGCGTTGCAATCCTTGTTCATAGCTTTCTATAATGTAAATAAATAACTTTATATATGACAATATTAAAGTTATAATGCATTTAAAATTGATTACATAAAGAGTTTCATTACATACTTTTTAATTAAAATAATTTCAAAACCTTTCCACAAAACTTCTGGTATAAATGACATTTTACTCATATTTTCTAGGGTAAAGCTACAGTTACGCGGCCTAAAATAATTATATTTTTGCCAGGGGGTTTTGCTACATCGACTATCTTATAGCCTGACTTGCAACGGAGTGCCGCTACATCGACTAACTTAAGGTGAGTTTCCACTCATCCGTTTTTTCACAGGAACGGGATAGGAAAGGGAAAAATAATCACGTGAGCATGCGTAGTTTTCCTTTTGACATATTAAAACTTATACTACGCATGCCCACGTGATTATTTTTCCCGTCCCTTTCCCGTTCCCGTAAAAAAACGGATGAGTGGAAACTCGCCTTTATAGCCTGCTGCTACAAGGAAGTGCTGCTACATCGACTGAGGGTTTGGCATGGGGAAGCAACCTTTTTTCTTTTATTAAATCAATGTAGCAAATCCCCCTGGCAAAAATATAACTATTTTAGGCCGCGTAACTGTAGGATTACCTTTTCTAGTACATGATACTCGTTTTCAGATGGGTATTTACAGAATAATTTGTCTCTGTATGTTATTTAAAATTTTATAAATTATAAAACAAATTTTGCTATTATCACTTTTCTTTAATTTACTGTTACTAAAGCTTTAGTAACAGTAAATTAAAGAAAAGTGATAATAGCAAAATTTGTTTTATAATTTATGAAATTTTAAACAACATACGGACTGATAATCAAATTTAACCAAGACAAAGATGAAAAAACCCATTAATATATACCTGTTTTTAACAGAACATTTAACAATAGTTTTTAATAAGAATTTGCTGCATTTTTCAAAGTGAATGGTAAAGGTGAATTATACTGTTTACGATAATTAATTATCGTAAAAGAAACATGTGCTTGAATTCTGGCACATTCTTTTCGCGAGGCTCGGAAATCGGTATTGTGCCAACGCTGGATTAAGGTATTAGTCCAGTGCTATTTTTCAACACTGGCGCAGTAATGTCTTACATTTTAATCAGTACTTCGCAAGCACTGGCCGGCCAACTATTGGTAAGCCAATACTGACGCAGTACTTTGCCTGTTGTAAGGAATGGCGCAATGCAAAAATTTCCGGTTAGGATGGTAAAGTATACAATGCTATCACCAACGCAAAATCTGCGCAACGGTGTTGACTCTGCCAGACAACTTCTAAGCAATTTAATAGCATTGATGAAGTTTTGCAATGACCGGTAACCACTGATTATCTACAGTACGGACGTCAACTCTACACGGCTGCATTCGATGTTTTGAATGCTATAATCATTTGGGATACAAAAAAAATACGAAAAAATGGCAAGCACGTAAAAAAGAAGATAAGCAGGAAAAAGCAACAAGGAAAGCATCCAAAAAGCTTTTAAACAGCAACTAGGAATTTTAGTCGACAAGCCAAAGCAAGGTTTGGGCAGCACGAACGACGGAAACACCGCTCGACCTTTTTTTGAAAACACTCAAACGTCATTCTTGATAACTGGTGTTTCCGAAGAATTAATCCACCGTTTTTATATAACTTTGCAACCAATTTCGAGTGGACATGAAATTGACGTTGAAAACTTTCGAGGTTACGATTTAGCAACTTCAAGACACTATATCAAAGAATATCCCTGATACAACATGCCAACATCAGTACATAGATTGCTGATCCAAAGACCAGATATTATTTCTTCGGCCATTTTACCCATTGGTCAACTGTCCAAGGATGCTCAAGAATCAACTAATAAGTCAATAATGCAATATCATTTGGGTTTTTCTTAAAAGTTTTCAAGAGTTAAAACTATGGAAGACGTGTTCAGCAGATTGTTGATAACCACAGACCCCTACATTTCATCTCTGCAAAAGTTAACACCAAAAAATTTGAAGACTTTGTTACCAGAGGCTGTTGCCCTAATGGTTCCTGTAATAGAAAATTATGAAGACTCTGACGCAGATGCCGATAAAACAAAGTTTGAATATAATGAAGATTTCAACAAAGAGACAGATCAAGATAAAAAAGAACCAAAATGATTAAAACAAAATGTTTTTTCTATATTTAACACTATCTTCCATCATTTAGTTCATTTTTTAGCATTGACGGATACATTGGATCCACCATTTTGTTTTTTAATTTTTTTAAACTTTTTTTTGTCAAATTTTTAATTTGTGGCCTAAAAGAACCCTTAAAACCCATTTATGAACAATTTAAACAATTTTTAACATATATATCTGCCATATTGGATCCTCCATTTTATTTTTCTTTTTTTTTTAAGCAAAATTTTAATCAGTAAACTCAAAAAATATTTGCCATAAAATTTCAGGAAAATCATTCAACGTTTTCTTATTTTGACTTTTTTGATATCTGACCCACTTTGCAGAGTGGCCAAGTGATTAGCGCACTTTGCTTCTGAACAAGTACCCAGTGGGCACCGGCAAAAAAAAGACGTCTTTTGAACGTTCAAAAGACGTCCAAAACGTTCAAAAGACGTTCAAAAGACGTCCAAAACGTGTGTAAGACGTGTCTAAAAGACATCTTTTTTACGTCCGTGTCCACTGGGTAAAGCCTGTTTCGAGTCCTACGTTTGAAAACTTTTTTTTTTAATTTTTTCGACTATTTTAAAATACAAAATACATTTAAATTTTATAGAGTGTTTGTAAAAACATATGTAACGATATTTTACACTTAAACGAACGAAAAGATTTTTAAAAAGATAATATTTTAAAAACATCAAAACAACGGGAGAAAAAATTGATGCCTATGTGTCGTGATTGAGATAAATTAAAAATTTATTTTGCCAATAAATAGTTTTTTTAGCTACATTTTTTTTTTTTTTTACAACAAATATGAGCTGCAGCTGTTTTTCAAAACGCCTTAATATGCTTATTACCTATTTCGAGAAAAACGCAATTAAAAAAAAAATTATTAAATAGAGAACGTTTTGGACGTCTTTTGAACGTTCAAAAGACGTCTTTTTTTTTTCCGGTGCCCAATGGGTTGTAAAACGTTTTTTTTTTTTAATAATTTTAATGAATTTTTTCTAAACTTTTTGAAAAAATGTATTCCATAAAGTTTGTAGACAAAACCAAAAAAACAAAGCTTATTTTGTAAAAAAGTCAAAAATGATATTTTTTACCTTAAGGCGTTTTGAAAAACGGCTGCAGTATGGATAATATAACGAATATGTTGAAATGGGATAATTGGACGCAAAATTTAAAAGTTCTTAACAAAAGCCACTAAACCAAAAGAATTAAAAGTTCAGTGCTTAAAAGTTTTAAGCATTGGTGTTTGCAAAGAAAAATTATACAAAAGAAGAAACATAAATCATTATATAAATTATTTTTTAATAAAACTAATTTTAAACGTTGTTGAATAGACAGGTTTGGCGCCTAACCATCCCTATATAAAACAATTTATATAAAAAATATGTTATTTGTTTATATATAATGTTTATAAAATGTAAAAAATCCACTTATAAAACGTAAAACGTTTCATTCAGGATCGTATGGAGCATAAGTAAACTTTTTTAATAATTACAAGTTTTGTTTTGATGTTTAAGTAGATTAAGTGATTAGTAGGTATGTTATATTTAAAATATATTATATTTAAATTATGTAATATTTAAAAAAATTGACAAAATTGAAAAAACACGAAACATATTGACATCCAAGTAAAAAATTCGAAACTTCTATGGTATTACTCTAAAACGACTGAAACTATGCCATGGGATCTGCTTCTTTTCATATATCGTTTATCAAGCAATAAGTAAGTTTCATTTCTTTCTATTAAAAGTTTATTTTTTGTGTTCTTTTTAAAAGTTTAATCTTAATTCAGAATTAACATAATTATTGGTTTTGACAAAAGAATAAAGACTTCTACTTATTTTAGAATTGAGTAATTAAAATAGAGAAAGTTTGAATATTATTTTTATCTATTTAAATGTACTAAAGTTAATAGTAGTTGTGCCCTTTCGAGCCTGTTTGATACAGACCTTTTGGCAGCCATTGCAATCGAGGAAATGAGGAGAGAGAGCTGCAACAGCTTTGTTTTATAAGAAAACGTGAACGAAAGTGTATATTTAAATGAAGGTGTATCTTTGAACGAAACTGTATGTTTAGTGTGTATTTATTATGTATTTAATATCAAGTTTTGTAATAATAAATATGTAAAATCATGTTTTACTGTTTTACTTGCATTGCAACAACATCTTTTTAATTTTGATCTTTAGCATTTATTTTTGTTTTATACAGTCTTTTGCTTTTTAAATAATTTAAAACTTAAGTAAAGAGAACTAATAAATTGTTTTGTTTTGCGTTTTAAAAATTAAAAAAAAAAGCAAGCTTGCCATGCAGCTTCTAAACTTTTTTTGAACAAAGTGAGGAGGTTTAAATAAAATGTTTTCATTAAGAACAAGACTTAAATTTTGATTTTATATAAAATAAATCGTTTTTATCATCTTAATTATTTTAAAAAATAATAAAAGTTAAAAATTACTTATTTTAGAATAATAAAGTAATTCAAAGTTTCATCGCTATTTTACAACGCCTCCGCTAAACATTCAAAACCAAGTGCTAAATGACGGAACTCAGATAACTATATATATATATATATATATATATATATATATATATATATATATATATATATATATATATATATATATATATATATATATATATATATATATATATATATTATATATATATATATATATATATATATATATATATATATATATATATATATATATGCATTAAAAGTTTGGCAATAATTTAAACACACCTGTTCAATTATCAAACATTGGCTCATTAATTACATAATTGAAATTCTTTGCATTTTTAATGTTGCCTCCGTCATTTTTGAATCGTTCATAATCAGATTTCAAAGTTTGAAGCGTTCTTAAGTTGATTTGTCGATTCCGATCTTCAGTATTCAATTGCATTTCACTTGATGCAATCTCACAGAATAAGCAGCATTGACGACCTGTTAAATAAAACAATTATTACATAAGTTTTATGTTCATATTACAAATAAGTTATTTAACTT